TAATTCTTCGAGATGCCTCCCTATGTATGCATTGCCTAACGACTGTTGCATACCATTATAATGGGTAGGATGCTAGAGTCTTCTGTCTGTCCTTACACAAGGCAAACCCTTATGTGTTGCATTTGTTGATTTCCAAGGTATGAATACTCAGACTGAAAATTTAGCAATCAGCTCTCTAGAGACAGTTGGAGCTGACTCCAGCACAAATGAATATTGCAAATATAAAATGCTATTATAGAATCAAAAAATTTAGAGTTGTCAGGACCCAAAGAACAAACAGTGTGAAACTGAAGGTATCTGAGAATAGCGCTGTCAAACTCCAATAGAAGCGAGGACCACTAATCTCTTCATAAGGATGCCTGCAATCAGTATTTTGACTTAGAAAACCACACATTCACGTTATGTTCTATTGTATTTTTATTTATTTTGTTAAATATTCTCCAATTATAGTTTAGTATGGTTCATGCTTTACTTGGGAGTGTTGCAGGCTCCATGCAGCACTCAGGCAACATGTTTGACACCTCTGGCTTAAAATATCACTGTGAAGAGTTTTTAAAGTTTTGTAAAGTACTTTACAGATGTTGTCTCATTTAACCCTCACAACAGCACTGTAAGGTATGTATAAGAAATATCACCATCATCATCATCATCATCACCACCACCATCACCATCAGCAGCAGCAGCAACAGTAGTAGCAGCAGCACCACCACCATCATCGTTATCATCACCATCACCATCATCATCACCACCACCATCATCATCATCATCACCATCATCATTATCATCACCATCACCACCACTACCATTACCATCATCATCATTGTCATCACCATCACCGTCAACACCATCATCATCATCATCATCATCATCATCATCATCTTACCAGTGAAGAATTAGAAGTGAAATGTCTTGCCCAAGTTAACAAACTAATACATATCAGAGGCACCTTAGTTTCTTGAGACGTAGGTTCAGTTCTCTTCCCATGATGCTTCTATATGGAACATTAGAGCTCTCAGAGACTCTTAGAGATCTTTTTTTAGTCCCCTAGTTTTACAGATAAGGAAACTGAAGGAAAATCATTTGGCTAAATATACAGCCTATAAGTAGAAGAGCCAAGGAGTCATCTGCTATGATTTAGGATGCCAAGAAGTAGTATAGGTGACTAAGTGGATAGAGCTTCAGGGTCAGGAAAATCTAAATTCAAATCCAGCCTCAGACACACTGTGTGACCCTGGGAAAGTCACTTAACCCTGTTTGCCTCAGTTTCCACATCTGTCAAATGAGCTGGAGGAGGAAATGGCAAACCACTCCTGTATCTCTGCCAAAAAAAATCCCAAAGGGGATCACAAAGAGCAGGATGCAACTGAAAAGACCGATAAGATGCCAAGAAATTTGGAGCCTATGGCTCCTTCAGAAGGCATCACCTTCCAGAGAAGTTCCAGACAAGATTCCTAGGAAGAGTTTTGGTTATTTTCCCTGCTTGGAACGCATGTCTGGATCTGATGACTTTGGAGTAGATTGGGTGCCATTAAATTTGGCGTTTGTCCACAAGGTGGCACCAACGCGCTTGAAATAAAATAACAGGGGCGTGGCGGGAATGTGTATTAGAGAATTTCTGCTTCCCGGTTGTCCCTGACTTCAGTGCTGACTCAGGCAGGTGACTTTGCTTCAGTTTAGCAAACCTTCTATGTACAAAGGCCGTGCGTAAGGAGAGGGACAGAACGTTGTAGTGGAAAGAGTGTTGGACTTAGGGGTAGAAGAGACCCGAGTTCAAATCCTGACCCTCACACTAACTGGTAACGTGCCCATGGGCAAATAAGGCATTTAAGCCTCAGTTTCCTTATTTATAAAATGACACATAATAGATGTTAAATAAAAGTTTGTTGATTGATTTTTTCATTATCTCTCTCACAGGGCTGTTGTAACTTGCAATCCTTAAAGTGCTGGGGAAATATGAGATCAGCAATTCATCTGAAACGTAAGTTTATAGTCAGAGTGGCCCAGGATGCTGAGAGTTTAAATGATCTGGTCACACGGCCAGTATGCATCAGAGACAGGACTTGGACCCAAATCATCCTGATGCCAAAGCTGACCTGCACAAAGTCACCGTCTCTCACTACAAGGCATGGTCATCCCCATTTTACAGATGAGAAAACTAAGAGTGCTTACTCCATAGTTAAACAACGACATGCTGGAAGCAGGATTCAAACCCAGTCCTCTTTTGACTCCAAGTCCAGCATTCTTTCCGATGACTCATAGAATTAGAGGGGACCTTGGAGAGAATCTTACCTTCCTTACAGATGGAGAAAACTGTGAAATGACGTAAATTGTCATTGCTCTCACAGCTAATAAATGGTGGTGGTAAGATTTGAATACAGACCTTCTGCAGCCAAGTTACAGCCCATGTGTGCTTTGTTTTTTTATATCCATTCTATGTGTGGATTATTTCCCCCCCCTTTTCAAGTCCCATTTGCCCTCCAAATGCCCTGTAGCATCTCAGAGTTTATGGGCAAATTCTTGTCTAGGGGACAATCTGCTGAGCTTGAGAGGGCCTGAGGGGTGAAGGAAGACTTGGGAAAGCTTCAGTCCAGCAGGGTAAGAGGCTCTCACCAGCTGGCGCTCAAAATAACCTAATTATCCGTCCAACTGCACTCGTATGCAACCCTCACCTTCCTTTCAGAGGGGAGCAAGGATGGAACAGATTCCCCCATTTTCTCTGCCCACCCCGGGACTGAATTTCTGTGCCTCTTTTCCTTCCCAAGCTCCTCAGGCAGTTAATTTCCACTAAAGCTCCTCTCCGTTGTGACCTGTAGTCACAATTGTGGGGATGAAAAAGATCATGTTGTGCTAGAGCCTACCAAACTCTAAGTCAGGAGTTTTTAATGTGGGGCCAAGAAGTTGTTTAAATGTGTGGGTGTACACATATGCACATCTACAAATATACATATATGCGTGTATACATACAGATATATACCCACATACACATACATGCATACACACATATGCAAATATTTAAATATGATTAATTATTTCAATGTAATTAGTCTCATTTGTAATCCTATGTACTTTGTTTCATGCATTTAAAAACACGATTCCGAGTGGAGTCCATCTACTTCGTCACACTGCCAAAGGGGTTAAGGATCCCTGCTGAATTTTAAGCAGAGCCCTGTGAGGAATTACAACTACTTTATACCGCTGCCTGATTACATATTCATTTGAATTTTAATGCCTCCTTTAAATTGTACACATAGTGGAAAGAACTCTGGACTGGGTTAGAATTCCAAATCCTGGATCCACTAGGAGATAGAAAATTGTGTGACTTGGGGTGAGTAAATTCATCTCCAGGTCTCAGGTTGCTTATCTGTAAAATGAATGAATTGGGCTGAATGATCTTCAAGCCTCTACCCATTTCTTGACTCTAATGGATGGCCAAACTGGTCTGTACCTTTGGCCTGGACTCTTCAGTCTAAACCCTATCTCCATGGAACCCCACCCATCCTTATTCCCTGCCCACATCTAACCAGTTCCCCCACAGCTAGCTTGCACTGCCTCCTCATCTCCTTTCAGAATTCTTTCCTCAGTCAACCCTGAGCTCTAGGGAGACCTCTCCCGAGAAGTCCTCCTTGATCCTCTCTCTCCATCCCTCACCCCCACCTCAAGCTGAAGTCACTCTCTTCCTACAGCACTTATCCTGGATCGCTCCTTTGCTCTGTTTGAAACAAACAAACAAACAAAAAAACCAGACCAAGTAAAAGTCATATTAGCCAAGAGATTTTACTCATTTTAGACAAGGGGAAATAGAGTCAAATTGCTCCAATTGTCCATGCCTTGGCTTCACAGTTTTATCAGTTCAAAAAAGGAATAGATTAAGCAGTGGGGATGGGGATGTCAAAGATGCTGGACTTCACCATTCCTATGTTTTCATTCTAATTTTGTGATATCTAGATTTTACATTCTAAGACTCATTTGTGATTTGTGATTTCATAAGAACGTGCTTCTTCTCCTATCAGCTGTAACTGTCAAGGTTCCTCCAAGATGGCGTCGGTCTTGTTCTTCTTCCTCAGCCTCCATCACACTCTACCTTTCGTAATACTCATTTGTATAGTTATGGCAAGCTTCTAAGGGCAGGGACCACACAGCTTTGCACCTAGCGGGAGTTTAAAAACTTTTGGTGAATTTCATAGTGCCTAGATCACTTCTGGGAATGTTAGTCAATAACAAATCGAAGAATTATCATCACCTACTATGTGCAAAGCACCGGGGATCCAAGGTCACCGTGGTAGTGAAAGTATCAGGGGTACTTTGTACTGAGTTTCCCCAAAGTCAGCATCTCTTTCCACCCAGACCACATAACTGCTGAAAGCAGAACCACTCTGCTCCTAGGATTGCTATTGTGCAAATGATCCTGGCCTGGAAACTCTCACTCATTAGTGAGTGACTCCATCTATAAACATTTATTAAGCATCTACAATGTGCCAGGTATTGCACTAGGCACTTGAGTGGCGGTGGGGGTGTGGAAGAACCTTACAAACGGTTTATGGTGACTATGTCTGGCTCTTAGAACTTGCAGGTTTCCTTGAAATAGGAGTGGAGTATTATGACCCCATTGACTTCAGTATTGTTGGAGTTCAGGTTTTTGCAAAAGGAACTGCCGTAGGTTCAGCCCACTGTTTCCTGGCAGGCCCTGGGCTGACGGTTTCTGATTTCTGTGGGGACGAAAGCCATTTTGACCATAAAAGGTATCAAGAGCATTGACCCCTCCCATCTTCTGAAGGCTCCTGGGGTTGTGTATTTAACAGCCCCTGTGGTTTGCTTCTGAGCTAGCCCACCATTTAGCTGGCTACTTGCTTACCTGCCTAGCTAGCTTGTCAAGGGATTACCATATATGGTTTTTTTCAAAAGCCTACAGGCTGGAAGGAGATTACAAGGTTACATGTAAGTCAGAGAGGAAGTTGTGGGTTTGCAATAGACATTGCATTTGTCTCTGCAGAAAACCCAGGGCTGCAGGGCCTCAGCTCCCTTTCCTCCAAAGGCCGTGGCACGTATGGGCTATGTCGAGGTTCTGGTTGCCCAGGTAAAATTGGCAGAGCTTTTCCGGTAGAGCCCACTATGCGCCGCTCACAGTTCCAGTCCAGTGGGACGCATTGGTAAAGGTGCTGTATTTGCCTCCGTTGTCTTCAAGAATTCAGGATCACTTCTGTTCCAAGAAGAAATTTTGGAACAGGACATTAGTGGACGAGCTGTATGGGAATAGGGACTGGACCCTAGGTTTCTTGAACGAACTTTCAGGTGAGGAAACTCCCTCTACCCCAATGCAGAGCCCCATCTCTCTGCAAATTATCATCTTAGATAATTGCCTAAAGTACAGAGAGGTTAAATGATTTTCCCAGGGTCATACAACCAGGATGTGTCACAGGTAGAACATGGCTCCTCTCTCAGGTGAGAACCTTGCCTCATATTTCACTGGAAAAAATTTCGGCCATTTTCTGAGAATTCCCTCTTCTCCTCTCCCCTTCATCTCTCATCACCCAGATACCTTTGACCACTATCTCCTCCTTCACTCCATCTCACAGGAACAGGTGACCCTCCTTGCCAAGGCCAACCCCTCTGCCTGCACAACCTTTCATCCTCTCTTCTCCGGTGGATATCCCCTCTCTCATCCTTACTCTAACTCATCTTCAATCTCTCCCTGTCTTCTGGCTGTTTCCCTACTGCCTTTGCTGGAGTTGAGGTTTTGCAAAAGGAACTGCTATAGGTTCAGCCCACTATTTCCTGGCAGGCCCTGGGCTGATGGTTTCTGATTTCTATGGGGATAAAAGCCATTTTGACCATAAAAACCATTTTGACCATAAAAGGCATCAGGAGCATTGGACCCTCCCATCTTCTGAAGGCTCCTGGGGTTCTGTATATAACAAGCCCCTATGGTTTGGTTTTATACATGCCCATGTGTCCTCCATCCTCAAAAAACCCTCCCTCTATCCTTCCATCCCTTCTATCATCCTATATCTCTTCTGCTCTTTGGGGGATAACCTTGAGAAGGCTGTCTACAATAGGTGCCCCCACTTTCTTTCCTCTCATATTCTTCTTAACTCTATCTTCTGACCTCATCATTCAACCAAAACTGCTCTCTGAAGTTACTAATGACCCCTTAATTGCCAAATCTGATGATCTGTTTCCAGTCCTTACCTTTCTTGACCTTTCTTCAGTCTTTGACACTGTTGATCATCCTTTTCTCCTCTAGGAAGATCATTTTCTTCTCTCTAGATTTTCATGTCACTGCCCTCTCCCGGTTCTCCTCCTACCTCTTTGATCTCCTCTTCTCTGTCTCCTTTGCTGGAGCCTCATCCAACCTGCTAACAGTAAGGATCCTGCCAGGCTCTGTTCCAGGCCCTTTTCTCGTCTCTTTCTATACTATTTCACTTGGTGATCTCATCAGCTCCCTTGGATTCAATTACAATCTCTGTGCTGATGATTTCAGATCTACTTATCTAGCCCTAAATCTCTCTCTTGATCTCCATTTTCACATATACAACTGCCTATTGAGATATCTCAATCTGGATATCCTGTAAATATCTTAAATTCCATATGTCCAAAACTAAACTTAATGTTCAGTTGTGTCCTACTCTTTGTGACCCTATTTGGAGTTTTCTTTACAGAGATACTGGAGTAGTTTGCCATTTCCTTCTCTAGCTCATTTTACTGAGGCAAACAGGGTTAAGTGACTTGTCCAGGGTCACACAGCTAGTAAGTTATCTGAGGCCAGATTTGAACTCACAAAAATGAGTCTTCCTGACTTCAGGCCCAGCATTCTCTCTACTATACCACCTAGCCACCAAAAACTAGACTCATTTTCCTCCAAACCCTCCCTTCTTCCTAATTTCCCTATTACTATCTAGAGGCAGGGTCATCTTCCCCGTTACCCAGGCTCAAAACCCAAGTGCTGTCTTTGACTCCTCATTCTTTATCATTCCTTCACAATTCAATCAGTGGCAAATCCTGTTGTTTTCTACCCTTATAACATCTCTTTTACTATCTCCCTTCTCCTGACACTATAACCACTCTGATGCAGGCCTTCCTCACTTTGTGTCTGGACTCTGCAATAGCTAGCTAAGTTAATCCCCCTGCCTCAAGTCTCTCCCCACCCCAGTCCATTCTCCACTCAGCTGTCAAATTGATCTTCCTTCATCCACATCTTATGATGTCACACTCCCATTCTATAAACTCCAATGGCTCCCTATTACCTCCAGGGTCAAACTCAAAATCCTGTTTGTAAGTCAAAGACCTTAGTAACCTGGCCCCTTCCTCGTTTTCCGGTATTCTTACCCCTTACACACTTCATCCCCTTCCCACATATTGTGTGTTCTGGTGACACTGCTCTCCCTGCTGTTCCTTGCATAAGAAATTACAATCTCCAGATCACCTTTGGTGCCCACCTGTCACCTAACTCTTACCTGTGGCTCCAAAAAGCTGTCCAAGTACACCCCTGTAAACTGTCTCAGCAGATGGGTTAAACCAGGTTGAAGGTAACCTATAGGCCTCAAACCTATCAGTGAGTTAGGGGGATGTCTACTCCAAGCATGTGGAGACTTCCCCCGGCAGAATGGGCACATGAGAACGATTTGTTCCAATGATCACAAATTCAGCTGAAGCAGGTGCTATGGAGCATTTAGGGCTTGGTCAGATATCACAAACAACAGGGTCGCCCACTGCATCCTGGGCCATCGCCGGGCATCTTGACTTTTGCCTTGCCACTGGACTTCAGTGACTCAGGAAGAGAGAGTAAGGCTGACAACTGTGTGTGACTCTGCCTCACTTAAATCCAATTAATGCATAAGTTAAGACATCACCCCATGATGTCATATCATTTTCATTGTCTGTCCCCTATGCCTGAAGCTCTCTCCCTCCTCTTCTCTTCCCCTCTCCCTACTTAATAGCATTTTATTCTTTCCAATTACATGCAAAGACAGTTTTCAACATTCACTTTTATAAGATTTTTAGTTCCAATTTTTTTCTCCCTCTCCCCTCTGCCCTCCCCAAGATGGCAAGCAATCTGATATAGTGTATACACGTATAATCCTATTAAATATATTTCTACATTAGTCATGTTGTGAAAGTAGAATCAGAACAGAAAGGAAAAACCATGAGAAAGAAAAAAAAGAGAGAAAATAGTATACTTTGATCTACATTCAGACTCCATAGCTCTTTCTCTGGATTTAGATAGCATTTTCCATCGTAAGTCTTTCAGATTCAATCTTAGATCATTGTATTGCTGAGTATAGCTAAGGCTTTCACAGTTGATCACCATACAATATTGCTGTTACTGTGTATGATGTTTTCCTGGTTCTGCTCACTTCACTCAGCATCAGACCGTACAAGTCTTTCCAGGATTTTCTGAAATTTGCCTGCTCATCATTTCTTATTGCACAATAGTATTCTATCACATCAATATACCACAACTTGTTCAGCCATTCCCCAATTTATAGGCTTCCATCCCTTCAACTTCCAATTCTTTGCCACCACAAAAAGAACTGCTATAAATACTTTTGTACGTGTAGGTCCTTTCCCCCTTTTTGTGATCTCTTTGGAATACAGGCCTGGTAGTAGTATTGCTGGATGAAAGAGTATGCACAGTTTTATAGTCCTTTGGGCATAGTTCCGAATTACTCTCCAGAATTCTCCCTCCTCTTATCTCCCTCTTCATCTTTCCTGGCTTCCTTCATATCTCAGTTAAAGTCTCACCTTTGGTGAGAAGGCTTTCCTGGTCCTCCTCCATCTTGGTATTTTCCCTCTGTAAATATCTCCAATTTGTCCTATCTGCGTCCCATTTGTAATAGTTGCTTCCAAGTTGTCCCCTCATTAGACAGGGAGATCTTTGTGAGCAGAAACTGTGTTTTACCTCTCTCTTTGTCTCTCCTGCACTTAGCTCTTAGTCTGATGCGTAGTAGACGTGTAATCAGTGTTGGCTGACTGACTCATAACTGCTTTTAATCTGCCCTCCAAGGACAAACAAAAGTTTAACTTCCCTCAGAGGAGACAGTTTTTCAGATTCTTGAAGATAGTTGCAATATTTCTCCCAAGTCTTCTCTCTTCCAGGTTAAACATCTTTAGTTCCTTCAACTGACCCTCATCGAGTAGCCCTTTACCACCTGATCACCCCCTCTCTACTTGGTCAATGAACTTCCAAGAATGTGGCTCCTTGGATTCGGCACAATTCTTACCAACCGTCTGACCAGGCACAGGTATAGTAACTGTTCTCACCTTTCTAGTCTAGGTCACTAAACCTCTCTTAATATAGCTTAAGACTGGGCAACTAGGTGGATAGAGCACCAGGCTTGAAGTCAAGAAGACCTGAGTTCAAATCTGGCCTTAGACATTTATTAGCTGTGTGACCCTGGACAAGTCACTTAACCCTGTTTGCCTCAGCTGCCCATCTGTAAAATGAGCTGGAGAAGGAAATGGCACACCACTTCAGTATCTTTGCCAAGAAAACCCCAAATGCGGTCATAGAGAGTCAGAAACCACAGAACAACAACACTGGATAAACCTGTGTTAAGCTATTTTCAGTCTACTAAAATCCTTAGGCCATTTTTAGAGAAGCTTCTGTCAGGCTGTACTTCCCTCATGTCTAGTGAAATTGATTTTTAAAATCCAAATGTCAGCCTTTTTATATAACGCTGCTCAATTTCATCTTCTGAGATTCAGCCCAGTGCTCTTTGTTGTCAAGACCTTTTTGGATGGGGAATCTGTCATCCAAACCTGCTGGCTGATCCTGCTGGGTTGGCGTCATCTGCCGATTGGATGAGCACGCCATTGATTAAAGCGTTAGACGTCACTGGGACAAGCAGAGCTCCTCGAGGCATCCCACTGGGGGCCCCCTTCCAAATTCACCTTCAGTCATGAAGGACCATGCTTTGACTTGAGCTGACTGCAAATTTCGAATCCACTTACACTACCACCCACATTTCAACTCTACATCTTTTCTGTACAAATAGCATGAAAGACTGTCAAATGCTTCACTAAAAAACAGCTTATTTGTCAGATGAGGAAACTGAGGCAAACAGAGTGAGGTGACTTGCCCAGGGTCACACAGCTAGTGAGTGTCTGAGGCCAGATTTGAACTCAGGTCTTCCTGACTCCAGGCCCAACACTCTATCCACTGTACCACCTAGCTACCCCCCTCCCCAGCTGCCCCTTTGTGATCACCACTTCCTTTAGATGTTTACTAACAATTCTTTTTAACAATGCATCCTAGAATTTTGCCAGTAATCAAAATGAAACCACTGGCTTATAATTTGCAGCTTCTATAACCTTGGTTTCTGAATTTGCCCTTCTTTGGTCACATGGCACCTCTCTAGCCTCCATGATCTTTCAGAAATCCTTGATAATGGTTCAGCAATCACACCTGCCTATTCTTTGAGTACCAGAGGGTGTAGTTCAGCTGATTGTGCTGACTTGAAGTGGCAAAAGCAGCTGGGCACTCTTTTGCAATACAGCTCCCTAATTATCTTTTGTACAAGGCTCTTTTAGTCATTTTTGTTCTTTCCTTTCCAGGATAAAGTGGCTTAGAAAACAGCAGCAAAGTTAACAGTTGGGTAACTCTGTGATGCAGTGGATAGAGCCCTGGTCTGGAGGCAGAAAGACTCATCTTCTCCAGTTCAAATCTGACCTCAGACACTAGCTATGTGACCCAGGGCAAGTCACTTGACCCTGTTTGCCTCAGTTTCCTCATCTGTCAAATGAACTGGAGAAGGAAGTGGCAAACCACTACAATACCTTTACCAAGAAAAACCTAAATGGGGTCACCAAGAGTCTGAAATGACTTAACATCAATCTTCTCTCCATCCTCCATTATCACTCACTTTGGGCATCAGATCTATGTGCTGGTAAACGTTAGCAACAGGTTTTCTGTGGGGCGGGATGGGGAGAGGTACACATGGCACACTTTTAAGTTTAATATGCATTATTAACATTTTCTCCATTACTTTTAAAAGTCTAAAAGATATATAATGGCTTGATTTGTAGCATTTGCTTATTTTTGAAGTGTAAGTACTCACATTGAAAATTTAACCATCTGGTGTGATTTGGGTTAAGCTGGCTCCAGCATAACCACTTTGATTTTCACCTTTTCATCACTGTAGCTTAAAAAAAACAACGATTTATTGTCCTGAACTTCCTCAGCCTCTGAGTTTTAATACTTCTGACACTCTTCTTACAGGACCATGCCACACTTGTAAATTCATCCCGTTATCTTTCCTTGCTTCCAACTTTTATGTGTGTATCTATCTATCTATCTATCTATCTATCTATCTATCTATCTATCTATCTAT